TTGGTTCCACAGGATCCCTCACTTATTGTTTTGAATCCTTTTCAACCGTTTGGGGGCTCTGACAATTTGCCCATCACGAGCGCAGACCAACCCCGCCCGTAGACCACCCTCCGTCTTGGTGTTTTGCACGCAGGACAGTTTTATTGAAGCCTTCCCCGACTTCTACACGTCCCTTGGCAGCCAGCTTGATCCATGTGGACCACGCCGACTGTCCCGACTCCGGCGGTTGTGCGTGTTCCGTGAGCGGGTTTCCGCCAACCTCCCCCCCACGCCCAGGATCTGAATGAAACTCCGGTGTTCACTGTGCCAACATTGTGACCTAGAAAAAACTTCAAACTATATTAACTATATGACAATATAGCTCATAGACTTCTTGATCTTCCGTAGTGAACCCCATCGTTTTGATGCTTTTTAGACTTCTTTGGAGCCAGTGGTTCGCTACTAGACCTTCTGGACAGACTCCTCGATCCACCGGTGTTCACCGTGGATCCGCCGCTCGTTTGCAGGCAGATGACGCCGGAGGCGGCCAACGTGCTCCGAGCTTAGGTACTGTCGAGCCGGTGGACCGAGGAGTGAGGGGATTGGAGTGTCTGAAAGCCTATATAGTCATATAGGTCAACACATAATAGGTTTATATTATATGTATTGGGTCCATATGTAGGTTGTTGGTGAGTTCATTGGCCTTGAGGTTTTGGTCCAAGAAAGGATGCCCACAGATCCGAGCGCTTCATTTCTGGGTCTCTCGCTCTGGCAAGCGCCAAAAACATGGCACGGATTCCACTCCTCAACAGTCACCCCTCAAATGCCGGTCTTTTGGATGCTTCCCGTCCATTTTCAGCCACCGGGCTGAGCGTTGAAACCCCGGATCGCTCGGCTCGGTCGTTCGTTGGGCCGAGCTCGGTGCGGCTGGTGATCAAGACCCAGACCTTGAGCTGGTCCAGCGATGATCCCAGGGAGGCTCGGATGGGACAGTTTCACATGAAGGGGGGGGAAGTTACCAGCCTGTTGATTGATTAGTGTGGGGTGTGCCACAAGTGCGGGGACGGGCCTTTTTGGTTTGCAGAGAGAGAGAGAGAGAAGCGATAGAGTAGTGTCAGACCCTGATAGACCAAATGCTTTCCCAACCATATTTATCTTGGTGGGGAACCCTGTACAGAATTGTGAATGCTGATCCTGTTTGCTGTCATTGTAGTAATCTCGCTTGATGTACTAGTCCTACTAAGCTATCGTACCTATCACGTGCATAGGACATTCGCAACCCTTGAGCGATGCAAAATGCGGTTGACACTCTGGAGGTTGACTCCCATCAGCTGTTAGTTGGCCCATGATGACATATTTCGGAGCCGAGCACTTGCAAGGCCTTATCTAAAATAGCACAACAGAAAAGCGAACATGGAGGGAATTGACGACTGTTCGGCCAGTTCAACCATTGGGTGGGGGGTTTCCGGCCCCCCCCTGTTGAAATAGGCCCCACTGTTTGCAGTGGTGGATAAATTTGGTGTGTATCCCGGACATCCCCGATATCTAGAGGGTCAGATAAGGTATATGTATATATATATATATCATACAGGTTCGTTGGTTCAATCCTTTCTGCCAGGACATCCCTGCCTTCATGCGCCGACTTCAGATCAAGGATCCCACCTTGCAGGCGACGTGATGGACCCGGGGTAGTGTAGTAGAGGGGGAAGGTAAAGGAGAGACGCTGGAAACTCCTGTGAGGAGGGACGGTGAGAGACCCTGAATCTATGGATTGGAGGGACGGAAACGGGAGATTTGAAGCAGAGGACCAGCATACACGTACACCTATACAGGCGCAATTTCAGCGATGAATTAGTGAAGTAGTGGAATCACCCAAGTTCTAGCACCACATCTTGGAGCATTGAAAAACATATCCTTCTTGCAGGGACGACTCTTGGTGGTGGACCAGTTTCTCAACGCGAGTCAGGGACTTAGTCCCATCATGTCCCCATCTACAGGGCCATTGGGCAAAAGGCAGACGAAGAATGGCAACAGATTTGAAGAAAAGCTCTGGATTTGAGTCCTGGAGCTGATCACATTGGCAGACGGTCAGTGACTGCTTGTTGCGGGTGGCAGCAGATCACGTGTGACCAAGGTGCCATTCCCAAGTTGCCAGACACTCAGTGGAGTTGATTTTGGCCATGGTGTTTGCTGGGTGGCGAGTTGATGTGACAAAGAGATACTGTACAAACAGTTCGTTTGCCCTGGCTTTCAACAATTTACATACTTCAAGTCTTCAAGTTTAGAACATTTTGAGCAGAACACTTTGTTTTCAGCACCTGTGCATGCAGGGGATCAACAGAAACCTAGGCATCAACAACCTATATTATTAGATCATATAGACATCTCTTGGATTTGTCCGGCTAAGTCTATGATGAGGACCAGAACATCGAATATCATCGAAGGTTCGGAGTAACAGTATAGTTATATACATGGGCATTGGTTTACACTGGAACATGCTGGAACCCATTTAACTTATTGTAAGTTATATATTGGTTCCAGCATGTTCCAGTGAAAACCCATACCAAATTATATATATATACATGTTTTTTTTTAAATATATATATATATTTTTTTTTTAAATATATAACATTATACAACCCCACTCTCAGTTTTGCATGCCTATTTTCTTGAGTCACCGAGACTAGCAAGTCCCTCAGTTCCTGCAAGTCGTGAACGATCCATTTCCGGTGCGTCTCAGGTACAAAGCAGTCGATGGATTTGTCCTGTCGGAGCCGCAGTCGCCCAGAGGGAAACCCCCTCTGAAAGCAGAGTGCTGTCGTTTCACTGGGCTGAAAGCATCTGAAAGCAGCGTCATCGTTTCACTGGGTGTCGGTTTTCGGTGTTCATCCTTGGTGAACATGCCCTCAGCCCTCAACATGCGGGAGATCGAAGGAGCGACCCGGGCGCCCTTGCCTAGCCGCGCGCACTGGTTTGGTGGCATCCGCCCATCATGTTGCGACACCCGAAGAAGGGCATGCCAAGTGCGGCCAATATGGGTAATCTGAAAGCCAATGCTAAAGAAGCTCATGTCCAGAAAGAGGTGCCTCCTCAGTTTCCACCTCACCCTCCGAGCTTCGGTGGACGTCCGTTCAGGCCCAGCCACGGGGAAGGCTGGGGCTTGCCACTCATCGAGGCGGGGAAAGAAAATGCGTGTTGTGTGACCTGGGTGATGGGGAAAGAAGGAGATGAACATGGTGCAGTTCGCAGGTGTGCCCAACATGGGCTCGTTTCAGAGGTGGCAGAGGAGTTGGGGATCATTCTTGATGACAGATTCAGCTCAGATGAAGGTCCAGTTGAAGCCGAATGCAAGCGCACGCATGAGAGAACTCGTGCCGATTTGTTGAGGCATGCGTAGACATGGACCGAACAGTTCCACGCCCCCCGTACACACCACAATACCGATAATACCGCAAGCACTACTTCAGACTCCACATTTTTTCTGCTAGATATGGGCGTTCAAGCACTACTTCAACCAGAGGCTGGTCACTGTGAATCCTTTCTCAACTTCCTCTCTCGACCTCCCGGGTTCTACGAAGAAGAGTGCTGGGCCCTTGCATGACACTCTTCCAACAAACCTGCAGAGAGTCCAAGTTTTGTTTTGCAATCTTTGAGACTCACATCCGAAACCCGTGGTGGTTACCCCAGACATGAAAGGGAGAGTGTCTCATGACAGGCTGGGGGTTGTAGAGTACATTGTTGTCCTGCAGCAATGTAGGGGCAATTGGTGGACCAATTTGCGAATTGCATGGCACATTTGGCATCGGACACGGACACAGTTGAGTTTACTAATGGAATTCCCTTCATAAGACCAGGGGTGCACACTTTTCGAGAGTCCGGCGGGTTGCAGGCACCCCTTCGCATTGATGTCCCTAACCTTGGCTCCATTCTTTCCGATTCTTTCTGGACAACAATTTCAGTTCCTCGTCGTTGGTGTCGCCAAACTTGTGTGTTGGTATGTGTTTAGGTCTTCTTATCTCCACCCGTCGTCCACCGGGTCCGTGCTGCGCTGCTTCGCTGCTCATCGTCCGTCTCTGTGACCGCCGAGTCAGGCCATGGCCTCCGGCTTGCCGACGATCTCCACTGGATGGGGTGCGCTCCAGAAACAAGGGCAGAAGGGGTACATGATGTGACATGCGGAGCGGAGGCCAGCACATAGAAGTGATAACTGACAACACACACACACACACACATGTATGTATATATATATATATACTTATATATATATATTATATGGACCAGCCATTGCAGCTCATGGGAAGACTTGAGGCTTGAGGAGACTGGGCAAACCTGGTGGTTCTCCACTCCCATCATCCAACGGTCCATCCGTGGGATCCCTGACCAGTCTGGTTGGCACTGAAGATTGGACTTAAATAGATTCAGCCAATTGGTGGGAAGGGGTGGTGAAAGACCTGATCCCTATCTAATCCCTTGTGCGGGCTGGTTTGATTCGGGCCGTGACACCTTCCGGAAAATTCACCTTCCAAAGCCCTCAGTTTTTGATCGAACTTAGAAACGGATTTCCAGGCGCAGTGGTTAGGACATGTTAGGTATGGCATGCTAGGTTGCTTGCGCAACTCCCGCTTTTTTGCTCCAGAGGGGAACTCACGAGCTCAGGCGGACAGATGGATTTCATGAGCAAGGACAATTCCTGGCCTGTGAGCCTCTCGGCAGGGAAGCGCTAACGATGTCAGACCATTGTCTACCCGCCCTACTGATCTACTTCCTCCCCACATCATCAGTGTATTACATAATCATACATAATCGACATAATCATAACCTACTGACTGTTTGATACCTCTGCCTGGTGACATCAGCCGACCACAGCTCACTACACTTCGCACCTCCGGCTTCGCTCCGGTTCGCTCCGAGGCTACGACCTGGTGGAGGGTCCCACGATGGGCTCCCGCTGGGCGGAGCCCCAGAAGGAGGCCCTCATCCAGGCGGACCGGGTCGGGAGGAGTGAGTCGGACGGGCCTCAAAAAGAGATGGATTGGGTATGACTGGGGTGAGTGTATAACTGAATGGTAGAGGTGTAAGACTGGCATGTGGTGGTGTTCAGGATCGTTGGTTGCAGCGCTTCCCGGGCCTCACTGGGAGGGTGCGCTGAAGTTGGCATTAAGTCAGGCAAAGGGAGTAAAGTGAGTAAAGAGAGAAGTCTTGTGGATGGTGGATGGATAGGACCAGGCCAATATAATCCAATATATATATATATATATATGTATAACATCAGCCAACAATTTGAAGAGTTTGCACGGACAGGGGCTTGCCCCAGCACTTTCCGCTTGAAGCTCTTTCTTGACAGCCATCAGCCCCAAATGGGTGGCCTTCCCACACGCGGTAGGCCTCCGGTTTCACCTCCCGCGGGAACCGCGGGAACCGCGGGAAGCGCCTCCACGCAACGCTCCCGGCGGCAACGCTTCAGGCAGTGGCGTCGTCGAGTCAAGCGCCGCCTGAAGGGCTGCTTCGGCCTGTCTGGTCGAGCACCGGAGATTCACCCGGCGGTGGTGCCAATCATCGAGCGGAAGCGGACGGCCCCCAACAGCCGCTCCTACCGGGCGCTGGTGGCAGAGGCTGAAGCTGGTGGGGTGCCTGCTGCAGTGGTGCACCAGATCCAGCTGGATGTGGCAAGAACCTTCCCAGCCATCCCTGAGCCCAGCGGAAACTGGGGATGGTCTGAGGAGGCTGCGGATCGAGAGAGCTGCTTGGCACGGGTGCTCATGGCCTTCGAATGCCGTGCCTTGGATTCTTTGGGGCCCAGACCCCAGAAGTCTCTGCCGATGTTGCTGAAGATCCGACGATCCTGGTGTGGTCCGGGAGATGGGGATGCCTGTGTGCGGACTCCACTGATGCGGCATTCAGTGGGAGGTGAGGCAAGACTATGGGCAGAAGAGGTTTCTGCATCCAACAGCGACCCGGTGCCGACATATGTACAAGGCCAGGCATCCTAGTGGTCCTAGTGACTAGTGTCGGTAATCAATCATGGTTGACAGCATCGAACTTGCAGAAGTGCTCGGAAATGCCAGACCATTCCTCTCAAAGATAATCGGCTGGATCCTTAACAAAGACTTGCTTACTACTCGAGAAACCGTCAGGGATCAGTTCCAGCAGTTTCGGTGGCCAATGATTGTTTACTGAAGGAGCAGATGGGTTCACTGAGATATCAGAGAAGGTTCTCATTCATGCATGTTTACTGGGCTGATTTCTTTGTCACTCGCTGTCGCTCCGGCCTGCCCTTGAAAAAGTGTCAGGCTGCAGCATGATGGCGGCGATGTGTTTGGGCTTCACCGCGGGAAGAGAAGAGGAAGGTTTTTGGATCTTCACATACCTCATGGAGGCCCGGCTCTATTGGGTACTGGGTGAACGCGGAGCACTCGCTTTTTCTCTCCCGTTGCTGGTTCCAGCAGCTTGTGGAAGATGGAGTGGAGCATGTGGAGCCCTTGAGTTCCTAAGATTTGTGATTTAGTGCGTGATACTGCCATACATAGTGCTGAGCTAATTTCTGGCCCATAAGATGGAACACATGCCAACAACTTGTCCGATTCAGTCTTATGGAGTCCTGGAAGCTTAGAACTCCGTCCCTATGGACTGGATAAGCACTTGTGCATGCAGGATGTGCTGGGCCCCGAGTTCTTCTCCAGGAGGCCAGCCATGATGGGTGCCCTGGTATGGATTGCACGGGAACTAGAATTAAAAGTAAAGCAACTGTAGATTACTGTAGATGAAGCAACAGACAGACAAGGATTGAGGGTGCGACATTTTCCCACATGCCACCAGTCAGTCTATATACATTTTTTCATTCTCAGGTGCCCACAGGACACATTAGTTTGCTTCGCTGTGAGCCAGCAAAGACAAGGAAGTTAGAGTGCCCACTCCACCATTTTGGTCGTCTGAAGGCAGTTTGTATTTTCTACGCTTGTGGAGATTCTTCATCGATGACTGGCAAGTGCTTGGCGATCTCAGGCTACCATGGGGACAAGGCAGCCCTCGCGCAGCTGGTGGCCTCCACCATGCCAGAACTGGCTGAACGCTTAGGCACTGCAGGCTTGGCAGAGCCTTGACAGATCGGTGCCGGGGTGAAGGAACCGGCCACTGCTCCGCAAATGGCCCAAGCATGCTATTGATGGTGGCCATGGCAATGGAAGACATGTTCCTCATACCAAACCAGGCGAATGACACGGTTTTCGTGATTTCATGGAATATATGGGTTCAATCCTCACGCCTTCCGGGGCTCAGTGGACACCGAGTCTTCAATCGGAATAGGGTTACTGGGGTCGCTGGGTAACCTTGCCACCTTCCTTTTAACCGTGATCACCGTGCCCGTGCCCTTGTGACACCCCACCAGACATCCCACGGCACCCGGCCCACCCATCGCCTAAGGAGTGTGTCTCAGCGCTGGCCGCGCGGTGCCTCCTCTCGGGCTTCGAGACTTGGACCGGAAGGGGGCGAGCTGCAAGCGGTGCGAGCGGTGCGAGCAGCGAGCGGCTCTGACCCGCCATGGTTTGGGGGTCGGTGGCATTCCAAAAGGAAGCCACCATGACATAGCCAGGTTGCGAGTCAGGAGGTTTTTGGGGGTTCCATTTGGCGTTGAGGGAATCCGGCCTTCTGCGGCCGGTAGGTTGACTGGGGCCTTGAGCTGGTCAGCACCTCAACACCCAAGAGACCCTGGGCATCCCTGGGCCATGCGGCTATTCTGTTGACCCTCCGGATGGGTAGCGCTTGCAGGCCCCTTGGGCCTTGGGCCCTGAAAGCTTGGGAAAAGCTACCCAATTTCTGAAGCTTGGTGATGTGGTAGGGGTGCTCCGGTGGGGAACCAGCTAAAGTGTCCCCAGGTCCAGCCCCATGAACCCCAACCATACACAATCAGCACGATTCTCTCTCACTTGACCTGCTGCGACAACTCCACAGGCACACCGAGATACACAAGTCTCACCCTAGGTCTTCCTCAACGTATTACCAGGCGGTGCCACCGGCCCATCCAAGAATCATCATCCCACGAGCGTTCTGAAGACTTCGGCCAGAATGCGGCATTCTGACAAGGTGACAAGCCCCAGCAAGGTCTTGACTGGGGCAACAGGCAAGGAACAAGGAGAAAACCACAACTTTGAAGGACCCTCTATTGCAACCTCATTCCCTCATGCCCTACGAATCGCACCCTTTCACCTGCTCGCCGCCCCGATCGGCGATCAGGTCGGCTTCCTGTCCGGGGAACCGTTGGTGGCCTTCTGGGAGGTGGGGAGTCCACGGGAGTGCCGGCACTTCGGTCGATGCCCGGGTTGCGAAGCCTCGGAATTCGCATCCTTGTGACTGGCATGGGAAGGCAAAGCGGGTGAACATGCTGCCATGGATGTGTCATTCAGAGATCGTCCATCACGACCAACATGGATCAGCCAGTCTGACATATGTATACATATAATCATATATAACTATATATAACTGGAATCTAAACTTTGAAGGACCCTTCCGAAGACTGACATGACCCTGAAAACCATCAACTGGAAGACCATTTTTTGGTGGGAATCAGTGGTTGGAATACTATCCTTTTTGCTAGCATCCCTGATGCTCTTAGCATCCAATTGACTTGTTTTTGTCTTGGGGGGATGGTTTTCTAGTCTTTCTGGCCGGCCTACTATAAGAATGACTATAGCAGAAGGTACGAACTCAAACGGGTTGCTGCCACATGTGTGCATAGGTCTGACAGGCTTGAAGCATCACCGTCAAGTAGAGTAGGTCCATTGCTGCTCGCCTTGAGCAGGAACTCCTCGCCAATCATTGGCCGGACTATCCACGGCTCCCGTTGCTGCTGTGGTTTACCGGGCTGGTGCAACATGCAGAGAGGCAGCTGCAGCAGGCCTCCGCGCAAGCGGCGTATGTGCGTCACACATCGAGGCCACCTTTTTGCAATCCCTGTGGCACACTCCTGGCGGCATTTGAGTTCACAACTATTTTGTGGGGCTTTGTTGCTATCAACATCCTCCATCATGATTTATGTGTGGTTATTGAGTGAGTCTTTTTTTCTCTCCGTCTTGTGCCGCCTTGTTTCAATGATGATGAACACCCTGTAGCAGTTGGTAACCTAGCCCTATTTTAGACATGGATGCATGGATATACATGGATGTACATGGATACACCGTAAGTATGGACACACCGTAAATGGCACCGTCACCCCGCATGTTTCGGTTGGAACATCGGCTCCCATCGAACGGTTCCGGTGCGTTGTCCAGGCGCCCAGCGACGAACTGGTGCCCATCTTCTTTCGCACGGTGCGCCGGGTTCGTGAAACGGGCGGCCACTGCCGGAAGATGGATGCCAAAGGTGAACAGCATTGAAGACCTAGCAGAACAGACCAGAAATGGGGTTTCCAGTGGTCCCTTGGACACTCCTTGAATATTCCCGGCCCTGAGGGGTTAACGGTGACATGTGGAGCGGGTTTGGAGCCACCGGCACCGCTACGTCCCCTGCAAAGCAGTCGTGCCGGTGAAGCTGGTGAATCTGGTGGAGGTGAAGGGTTTCACCCGTCCAGGGATTCCAAGTCGGAACTGGTCCTGATTCTGATATAAAACCATGGACCATTCCCGATTTTGTCAGCCTGTCTGAGAACGTAGGGGGGCCCAGTGGGTTGTGCAAGATGGCTACTGCAGCTACTTCGCAAGAAGGCTGCAGGTTCCAGAGATGTCTGGATGTCTATGTTACTTGGGTCTGTCCTATTACCTGTAACAGTCAGTAAACAATTACTATATACTATTTTTGAACATGACAAGGCCTTTACTAACCATCGTCATCCACTGTTACTGGTATTAGGATAGACCCAATATGTTACAATATCCTACACAGAACGGAGACCAGAATCCCATACATCTCCAGCTTCCCCCCGCCGCCCTTGGAGGGCCCCCCCCAGTCACGGAACGATGGGTCTCAAGAAGGTGCTGCGACATGGAACCTGGCGATGTCGATGGGTCGGAAGAGCCGTGAAGACCCAACAGGTGCAATCTGCTAGCCGCGAGCTGCCCCGGGGCTGGCGACCAGTGCTGCCTTTGAGTCAGCCAAGGGCGCTGGAGCTCCGGCAGGTCTCACAAGAAGCCCAGGCAGGCCAAGGTATTTGGTCTCAGGTTCTGCAGGGCTTTGAACAGCGGCATTAGTTGGCCCATTTGTGGTTGATTTCGGAGAAGTATCCTTTTTGCCACGGATGGGTGCAACTTCAATCAGTTACCGGAGCCTCCCACCTTTTCGACCACCAAAGGATGGCCGACTTCCCCCCTCCAGACCGGCTTCGCTTGCGCTCCCGAAAGCGCAAAAGCTTTCGGAAGACCTGGCCAGATCTGCCCAGCCGTGGTGTTTTTTCGACTCTGGGAACCCATCGTGTTGGAGAGGTGGTTCCAGGACCGGTCGCTCGCCAGACCAGTCAGCCAGCCGGCCATATGCAGGAGAAGTACCGACAGCTACAGGAAGAGTTGAATTTCAAGGAGATGCATGCCAAACAGGCTTGGCATGGCCCGGAGCCGTGGATGGGGGGATTGACTGGGAAAACCAAAGGGGTGGCGTCTAGTCCATTTTAGATTCCTAAGTGAGTGGATAACGGGCACCCCTAACCTCCATTAAGCACCCCTTTGTGACCTACTATGTGAGCGAGTCGGAGTGTATCACAGATTTGGGGATTGACATTGTCAACCCGTGTCACATTGAAGTTTCCCCTCTCCGTCGGACTCCGTCGTGCTGAACCCCCCGCTCCCCCCCAAAGAATCCCCCGTCGGACTCTCGTGCTTGGGCGTTCGCTCTATGCGTCACGGTGCACGGCACCGGGCTTTGGACGCCCGGCCCGGTCGCCGGCGGAAGGTGTCGGCCTCCTTGGACCGCTCGGCTGCTCAACTGGCCGATGCCTTGAAGCTGGCATCGTCCGCCTCGGCCTCGGCCTCGGCCGCCTCGGCCGCCTCGGCCGCCCGGTGAAGACGGATCCGTTGTGGAGGAACGGCCCTCCGATTTGAGGGACGCTGCAAGGGTGGATGCGAGCAACGGCCGGGCCGCGGAAGAAGAACAAAAGGGCGCCAGGGCGGGGTGGCTGGGATAGGATGCTGGAGGGCAGAAAGATGTGCAGGTTGGATCGACAGTGACCCAGCTTGAGAGCAACGTAGCCAGGATTTTCCCAGCATTTCGGAATTGCAACCCAAAGCTGCCGGAATCTTGAGGCTTTGTTGGTTGATTTGAGCCACCCGCGCTCGAGTGTGCAAAAGGGAGATCTCCCTCTCAACTCAATGAATTCCAAGTTGTTTCCTTTAAACTAACTTTCATTGCTTCAATCTGAAAACCTCCATCCAGGTGCACTAGACCTCCTGCAAATCGGGAGTTTCCGGGGTTTGGGAGTGAGTGTTCTATTTTTTTGTCTGGAACGCCCCCCCCACTCCGCTCCGCCCGCCCTCACGCCGCCGCCACCTTGCGTGAGGCGATGCGCGAGGTCGTGCAGGGCGGAGCGGCGGTGCGACGGAAGGTGCAGAGAGCTTGCGAGGAGGCGACTTGCACACGCCTCCTCGCCGCCCTCTCGTTTGGTTGTGGTGCGAAACCGGGGGGCCCACTTTCCCGCGTGTGAAGCAAGTGAGTGAGCTGCCCTCAAACTTGGTTTGGGCGTCGTCTTTTTGGTTTCTCAGTTTCGGTTGGTTGAATACACCCCCCCGTTCTTAGACTTTAGTGACTAGTGTTTCCACCCCAGGAAGGTGATGCTTCAAACATCGACCCCTTCCATGGCTAGGTCGAAGACCGCATTGGTTTTGGGATGTGAAATGCGGCCACTCGTTCAATCGGTCCACGGTGGCTATATCCTGTAACAGAGGCACCCAGGTGGCCTTCATATGTTCAAGCCGTATCCAGGTGGCCATCCCCATAAGGGATAGGATAGGACAACGCAAACACTTTTAGAACTGTGAAGATTGGATAAAACCGGCACCCGGCTTATTCTAACTTAGCAGTAGGGTAGCAGGTGCAGGAGAAGTACCGCATTGCGGCGGTGGCGGAGCACACCATGGAGTTGCTTGGGCTGGGGCCTCGAGAGTGGGTGGACAAGAGAGGCTAAGATGGTGGGTTTCCAAGCCAATCTCTACTGTATATATAGTTATAAATCCTTGTGTGACCCAGAAGGCCAGGTTTGATAGTTGACTTAGTTGACCTCATTTCCTTAGAGTTCCAATCCAACATTTAAAAAGTAGTTCTTTTTGATCCAACTGGTGCTCAAAGTGAATAGTTTCAAGTTTTAATGCTTTAAACATGGTGGTTGCCCAAACGACCCTTGTTCACATGGCATTGCTATCGGGCCAAGCTATTTATGCAAAATGATGCAGCCTTGGTGCAAATCCATCGCGCGGATTTGGGTGCTTAACACGATGCGAGGCCGTGTTCACTGCATATTCCTGTTGGTGAAGAGCAGGGGAAGGTTTCCCGCCAAAACTGCTCATGTTCCTTGCATGCCGCAGAGAGTTGTCGAACGTCCTCCTCCTCCCCCATTATGTGCTGGTTTCAGGTATGTTTATGTTGAAGCTTTTTCTTGTCGATGATGATATAAACCCACGGCCCATGGACTCCTATTTTGCAAGTGGCTTGGCACCACCGAACCCAGTTATTATATATGTCGTTATATATAGCATGGGCCTTTCGTTCGCCTTTGCGCAGCCCCAGAAACGGTGCAACCGACCCCGGTGGTGCCCAGGTCCATGCAGGCGCGGGGCATGCAGAGGAGGGTTGGATGCTTGTCGGATTTGATCAACTGAGCTTGTAGCGTTTGTACCCTCAGGTTTTTCTCCTTACGATCAGAACCGCCTATTTGGACTCTCTTTGGGCATATGCAGAGACATCCTCCACTTGAGATGTGAGACTCTCGGGGATGTGAGATTTGACCGCCTGCATGTTTTGCAGATTAACCCGCCCGCAAAGTCGAGAATGGGACGATGCCTTCTCTTGACTATTTGCAAAAGGGCCTGACCGATCTGAGCCATATTGGCTCGAGACTTTTTACAGTGTGCACTGGGTGGAGGAAACGATCTCGCCTTGGCTCGCCAAAGATGCTTCTTGGAGATATTTGGAGCCATTCAATGTAGCCAAGCTGGGCCTGGTCCTTTCAAAACAAGGTTGGCACAATTGGAGAGGAAGAAAGCCGTTTTGCAGCTGTATTTGAAATTTTATCTACTCTACTTGACCTCGAACTTGATTGCTTCTTGTAGTTTGCAAGAGTTGTTCTTCCAATATCGGCTAAAATGTGCTGGTTTGCAGGTGCCAAAATCGATAGACATCTCACCACATGTTGCCGGATGTTGCCGGGGCATGTGCCCAAATCTGCGATGGTCACCACCAGTGGGTTATTGCCCATAAAATGGTTGCCGGTATTGGGAGGCTCATTAGCAGCTACATGTTGGGCACCTGGAAGAGTAGTCTCCGACTAAACTATATAGTTCATTTTCCCTTGTCTTGATTGACAGCCCGCAACACAGCCACACTAGGTGGTTGGACCAGTTGGTCAACGCTAAAATCGCGGTGAGTTCGCTTCGATCGTGCGGCTCGTGTCGAAGGAAACGAGCCGCGGACGAATCAGACGACCTGCTGCCCCCCGAGAAGAAACATTCCGATGAGGGGAGCAGGCAGGGTGTCGCTTGCTGGTTCCTCAAAAGGACTACTGTAGACTGTAGACGACTGAAACTACAGTAATCAGTTCCACATATAGATTTATAGGGCCCCCAGAATACGGAACCGGGATTCGCGATGTACACATCGTCCTTCTCAAGTCGACTGATTTTGGATTTCCTAGATTCAGCACTTTAGTAGGTACTACATGGTGCCACAATCTCACTGGTTTCGGACTTTCATTTGGGACGCCAAGACTGCGGTATGTCACTCAGGTCACCCTGTGCAAAGCTCACCGCACCCAGCCGACGCTGGTTCATCCGGCGAATGAGGCTGGACTGCCTGGGCGGCATCTTCAAGAAGTCGGTGAAGCTGCCGGTCTCGCCTGGGAAGGTGCGGGGGGCTGCGCCGTGGGGATCGTGGGGATATTTGAAGGCTGAAGGATGCGCGTTTCCATCTGCGTGTCTGCATTCTGTTCGTGAATGCTTCCTCACAACACTCTGCGCAGCTGCTCTGTGTTCCACGTTCCGCCCAGCGATCGCCCGTGTTTTCGCTCGGCGGAACGATCGCTCCACACGATCGCCCGCAGGTTCCCATCTACGTGATGTTGCAGCTCGACTGGCTCTCAGATGATGGCCAATCCTTGCGCTACAAGGACGGTCGAGTCTGTCGACGTCACGCGCGTGGGTGGGTGGTGCTGTGACGGCTGGTCTCGGCCGAAAATGGGTCTCGGCGGCCCGCTTGGAACGAACTGATGATGGACATAGGGGATTCGGGGGTGTCCCAGTAAACCTGCAACAGTCGACACACAAAGCAAACCACTATTTCACTATTTTAGAGAAAGGCCCCGAACCATCATCATTTACAGGGAATGGGATATATCCAAGCTGGACATGTGCAGGGCCTAGGGCCGAAGATTGCAAACGCCAGATTGAGTGTCAACACCCTTTCTTGGGTGAGGGTGATCATAGGGGCACCTACATTTAGTCCTAGAGGAGCCCTCCCAAATCCATCAAAATCCGGGGTGGAATGACGAAGTCATCCCACATATTGGATCAACAGCCGCTCTGATCTAAGTAGATGTTCTGGGGCTCATGCCTTGAGTGACACTTCCATTGATTGCACTTGCACTCTGTACTCTGAACAGAATTGGAATAGTTGCAATTCTCATGGCATGGCGGGCTTTTCGACCATGGATATCCCGCTGAGTGCACCGTTTTTTCTCCTGCAACCATGCATCCAAATCGAATAGGCGCCAGTTGTTAGCACCTTACTCGCCCTCGGACAGGTTCGCTTGGGATGTGCAGAAAGACACTGCACAAACAAGGTCCGTGTTTCCCTGTGGCAGCTCTCTGTTGAATAAGCAGGGTGACAAGCTGGAGCAAACCCAGTGGGTATGCGGTCAAGCCCAGTGGCAGCCCTCGTTGATGTCTTAGAAGATGGCATTGGACCAGGATTTGAGTGCTTTTGGGGGACATGTTCAGCCAACACCCCAGCAACTCCCAAACTGGTACCGGAGCCCTTCTCCAATCAACCAGAGATGTTCATGCCAGCTCGCCCCGCTCGCCCCGCTCGCCCCGCGAATCGCCGACAGGAGCAGCTCCAGCGGCAGCTTTCGGCTGCAAAGCGGGCTGGGATCAAGGGAGTCATGGCCTGGAAGCCTGGAGGATTTGTCCGATGCGTCCGGCCCGAGACGGAGCAGACGGCCAATGGTAGAAGTGGTTATATAAGGGGCTGGGCGTTGTTTTTCTTTTTTGGAAGCTCATCACTATGGAACAAAAGGTCATGAAACAATCTGCTTGGTCACTCTATTAGTCCTTCCCAGATGTGCAGTGTGCATAAGTGTGGCACAAGGCCGAATTGGACTATAATGTGCTAGCAACCAACTCCAAGGCAGAGAATGGTGCAGCAACAAGAATTCCAGGAGTAGATGTGCAGAGGCGCTGAACTCTGCAACTGGAGAACTCCCCAAGTTCAGCCTCACATTGTAGGAGTTTCTTCACAGACAAGAGCTTGGCTGAACCTGAGATCTCAAATCACAGAGGCATGCACAAAGAACTTCCATTCCGTTCCCCACTTCCAGAGAGACCCCTGAGAGTTGCCGTGGACCGCTACGCGGCTCGAAGCGCGTGGACCGCCGGCGCGCGCCGCGCGGCGTGGACGCGCGGCGTGGACCGCCCATGGCGGAGCCGGAGCTCTTGGAGCAGTGGCTGTCGGAGGTCCCAAAGGTGCGAGCCATGCGCCGACGTGGTGGGTGGGCCATGGTGAGCTGTGATTTGTTTCTTTTTTGTTGGGGGGGAGGGTGGTGGGAGTATGTGGGAGTCATGGTCAAACATCGAGAGCCCGCCAGAGACCAGCATACAGAACTCGTTGTTTTGCAAGTTTGATACCAGGACTTGATTGGGTATTTGCATGTACCACCCATTCATCAGGGTTCTGGAGGTGCCGGCTGTGGCCTTTATCAGTGGTCCAGAGGAGGGCAGTGCCAGGAACAGCCGGATGAGCTTTGGCCACCGCCCCTTTGGCCCGGACACTTTTGTGCCTGTGCTGAATATGTCTGCCAAGGTTGATGGAAAGACGGCGCGTTGACTCTTTGACCCCGAGGCGAACGAAAGGTCGAACAGAGAAGTTTGAGGCCAACTTCATGGGCTTTTGGCACCAACCGCTGTCCACCTCGATGCATTTTTTTTCCGAGTTCTTATTCCTCGATTCCTTGTGCGAACTCGAGTTCTTATTCACCTGTGCTATGGCACCCTGTTCAGCCTACGCTGGGGCTGCACCATTTCCATCATACGGCTCCACGAGGAAGTCATAGTCAGTCCATACTAACATACACTAACACCAAGGCGCCTAGTCCTACCAACAGGTGCAGGAGCAGTCCTTCGGTGGCAACTGCAGTAACAACAGTGGGGAGTATCCGAGAGTCTTGTGTGGTTTGTTGGAAGTTTCGATCCTCTCAGCAACCTGAAACAAACTCATCATCATCATCATCATCATCATCATCATCATCATCATCATCGTCTCATACCCATCCTGATCCTGATTCTCATCCTCGTCTTCATCCAGGTATTCCTCATCGTGCCCGTGTCACCCCTCCAGCCGTCGGCGCCGTGACCGCCCTGTTCCTCGCCCAGGCAAGAAATCCTTGCTCCAGCTGCGCGACTCGAGCGGCCTGGCGGCGCAGTCGCCGCCGTACAGCTTCGCGGTCCGCTATGACTTGCGGCCCTTGACGAAGCAGTGGCGCGGCCCAAAAATCCGATGAGGGTGGGTTGGGAGATGGGATAGGATGGAGAGCTGTTGGCGTCGAGAATGCCAATAGGAACTGAACCATGAACATGCAGCGAACGAGCATGGAATTGTCCACCGGTGGTCCCAGGACTTGATTCAACAGCATCACATGGCAATGTCCGGGGGTCTGCCGGGGACGGAGAGTCTTACCCCATCCCCTTTGGACGCTTCACCTACGGAGGCGATCCGAAGCAGAGATCCAATCGGTCGACCCATTGCTTTGCAATCTTGGTTGCTGGTCATGCTCGATATATTCTAAAGGCCTTTTCACCCTCAAGTGGGAGGTACTCGTAGGTAGAATTTCATTGACAGGACTGAGGAGGCCTCCTGGCTGCATGGAGGCCTGGCCCCGCCGGCCTCGCCTCCTTTTGAGTCTCCCCTCTCCTCTCAAGGCCCGCCTTCACTGAGGATGGGTGAGAAATCGGCTTATTTGATGCTCATGGACGGCGAGACCCTGCGCCGCATTGGCAAAGGCAGGGGGTTGCGACTGATCTGGTGAGTGCGAAGGAAATAGATGACGGGACAGATGCCGTTCCATTCGCAGGTCAGAGTGTGCCAGTATTTGGGTCCAATCTATATAGATATCCATTGCCAAGGAAAGTAGACATGTTGCAACCAATGCGCGACATACAACATCCATCTCGGGCACACCTGGCCCCGCAGTCTTCGACTTTCTTCCACATTTTCGCTGCTCAGTCTTTGGTCATAGACTTGTAGCAGGAAACTTCACGACCACAACCATGGGCATTTCAGCTATGAACTACCGGGGGCCCTCCGGTCCAAGTCGGATCGCCCGGCCGTGGCGGAGGCAGCGGCTTGGACCTCATCGCCGCAACCAAGAGCTGGATCGCCCGGACTGCCCTCTGAAGCTTGGGTTTCGATCGGAAAGAATGGATGAGGGATGATGAGGGCAAGCCTTCACGGGGGCGGTGCATGGTTCATATGGCGGTCGATCCTGCAAAATGGTCCCCTGTGATAGGGCAGCTGTTCTGATTCTTCACATCGTCCCTTCAAGCGATAATGAGGACAGTTGAGTTTACATTGAGTTTTCTGATCCAGATCCGCGCGACATGCGAAACTAAAGGATCCTTGGTTTATCCGGTTGACCCCCTTCACAACACTGCAGGGCAATCAATCCCCAAAGTCCGAAAAAATCGAATTCCCTGAAGTCCTAAGGCATGTGTTTGACTTGTTGACATAGCTCCCGTGCTCCAATCCATCAAAGCACTTCTTTGCTTGCATGGCGGGACAGAACGCCTTTTCTATCCTTTTCTTGTTTTTGCCTTCATGAAGGCTTGCCCAACTTGTCTTCTGCTGAAAGGTGATGTATCTATGGATTATTCCGCAAAATGGTTCCGGCCATCCAAATCCATAAATCCTCCTCATCCTCGATTCCTGGAAATGACCGGATCCATCTTCTTTCCTCGCCGAGGCGCTCCACCGCAACTCTTGGCCAGAAACGCCCAGGGAAAATTGACGGGGGAGATCGTCGTGCAGCCCGATCCACATCTGACGCTCGGAGAGTTAACCGACGACGGCATTTGGTTTGCACTTGTGTGGGTTCCATGTCGAATTTGAACCCGCTGACTACTGTATGTTTCGATCGGGTTGACACCAACCAGTTGAGGCCAGGAGTTACGAATGGGGCGGTGTTTAGTCCGTAAGTGAGTTGATCAATGGGCACCCCTAACCTCCACCCCGGCATGGAACTGCTGGGGGTTTGTGGTTTTTGCCGCTTGTGCGGATCCAAACAAACTGACCTTTGATGACTGTCTGACCAAGCACCACGCAGCCTTGAGGGAAGATTCTAGGCAAAAACCAGCTTGGCACACCTTGGCTTTAAATATACTATATATAGATGCTTTAGTTGGCCGGCGAGCTATTGGAAGGGCTTGTTTCAGAAGCCTCCCTCATGCCCAACGGAAAAACGCTCCCTGCCCGGGAGACGCCAACTCTGAGACTTGATGCCAGAGGTACTCCAATAGCGAGGGCGTCCTTTTGATGACTGTGGTGCTCACCACTGACATCAAAGACACCCATCTCTGGCAACCTGCAGGTGATTTGATGAGCTGCTTGGAGAGTGACTCTCTTTGGTTTCCCGCAAGCTTTAAGGATCCAAGCCCAGTCCAGCCCATGCGAAAGTTATCCCTTCAACATTACTTCCCTGCAGTTGGGGTGATTGACAGGGGATACCTCAAAGGAGCAGAAGGGTGTACTCACCTGCAAGGGGTTCCATTTTAGCAAGGGCTGCAAGAAAGATGGGGGAGCAGAAAGAAGGGACGCAGCATATCGCAGAAATAGGAAGAGGATATTAATGAAAACGATGCCCCGTCACCAGCCTCAGCATCCTTTGAGGAGGGAGGGGTCGTGCACTGGCGCACCACATCCCACAAGCACTTATAGATTACACACTCCGACTCACTAACATGGAAGTGGAAAATAGTCCCTTGGAGTCGCGGTCGGAGTGTACTCATTTCTCCATTCATCCTCGCCATTTTGTTTCTCCTCTTCGGTCTCCTCTTCTTTTTTGCCTCTCCTTATCTTCTTCCTCCGGTTTCCGACTTCCTCTTTTGCACGACGTGCGCAAGAGGAAGCCGGAAACCGGAGGAAGGTGATCACTTGGCCACCCAAGCAGCCCAAAAGTCAAGGCTCCGCTCTGTCAGGCTATCGATTGGGAAGCCCTCCCGTGCAGTGTGGACTTTGTGGCACCACCGTGGCGCTTCGGGAGCTCTATGCGCACCAGAACGAGTGCCCTGAGGCGCCACTGGCTGCGCCCGGAGAGAGGATAGCCCTGCCAGTGGTTCAAGAAGAGCCAGACTCCCTGAGACAGAAATGGTAGGCTGATTAGTTGTGGCCTCCTCTTGAGTCACATGCAACATGATGGATCCCCGATCGACAGGCTTTTATCCTTTCTTCTTGCTCCTTCCTTGAGGCTTTTGTTTCCTCACACATTTTGGGGACCAAGCCAAGCTGGTGGGCATACTGGTATACGGTACGTGTACCCCACATCCAGAAAAGACAACTTAAGATAAATTGTTGTTCTTTAAATGGGGCACCTGGAAGCAAACTGACAAGCACACAGCCAAACGGTTGCACATTTTTTCACAAGCGTGCTCCAGAGCTACGGTTGGTGGCCCGTCAGGTCATGGGAATCAAATGTTCTCTTGAAGCCTGGCCTCCAAAAATGCAAGATGGACCCATCCATGACTACCCTTCACGAGCGCAGACGAAACCCAGGGCGGGTGCTGTGCCCTGCCCTAGCAGGTGATGGTGCCTTGCCCTCGCTGCGACAAGCGGGTGCTCATCCGACATCTCTCCGCCCACCAGCCGCTCGGTGGAGATCAATGGAACGGTCCCACCAGCCGCTCGGGGTGTGTTTGGCTGTGGTGTTGGAGCAGAAAGACTCATTTTATTTTTTTACGCTAAGAAAAGACCAAAGTGATTTGCCGGAGATTCACTCTCCATTCAACAAAGCACTTCTACAGACATTTGTTGACCTCTGAGTTTCAATGTGAGCTGGCACGCTCTGACTTTCAGGAAAGGCGACGACTGCCTGAGCTCTACGGGCATGGCGACGCAGACGGTGGATCTGGACACCGAAGATGTGGGTTCTCAATGTGTGACGCCCGCGCTGCTGCCCGTGGGAGTGCAGACCAGTTACAGCTCGGCCGCTGGAATGGATGTTGGGAGGATAAAGATGTTTGGGACCAATGGCAAGGAGGGCAAGGATGGGCTACGGCTACTTGGTGCCCCTTTTTCGCGCCAGAAAGATCAGAAAGGTGGAGGATGGGGCCTCCAATAGGGCACGAAATGGCTTCCGACATGTTGTTGGGGTTGACAGGAATGCCGGAATGCCGCTGAGTTGGGTAGGACTCTTGCGAGTTGCTGGCTTTCGGGAAGAAAGGGTTTGTCAAAAAGCTGCTCCATAGTAGTACCGATTCTTTTCCAGAGAATCACCCATCGTAGGTGGCGAATGTGACAAGCATGGCATGCTGGCAGGCCACCCTGGCTTTGGCGTCCCAACAGCACCCCCGGATGTCGGCCATGACTTGTCAAAGCCAAGTAGACATTTAGAACCATAAATGAAAGAATCCGCCGATGTTCACCACCTAAAGGACTCGGGCATGATCCCACCCTCCCCTCCACCTTTTTGGAACAACCGTTTCCTGATGTTTCCATCCACCCACAACCATCCAAGTCTTGGTCGCACCGTTGGTTGGTCCATCACGTCTCCAAGGCCATGCTGGCGCCCAAGCTGGTGTGTGAGGAGCCGGTGGCAGCGCTGGTGCCCTTCTTGGCACTTCGTTGGGCGCCACCCACCCCGCAGGCGTGGTTATTGTGGGAAGGTGAGGTCAGGGAGATTGGCAGGCAGGGGTCATTTGGAGGGTGACGAGGCATGTGAGGATTTGCTCCAGCATCCACAGTATCCCCTTGAACTTGGTAGTGGTGAATTCTGCACGAGAAGCTTTTGGAAGTCCAGTGTTTGAAGAAACCAATCGATGACTTAGGATGAGATGAGGACGAGCAGCCACCACATTTTGCCCCCACTTTGGACAAGCAAGGGAAAACACATCAACAGTCAACGGAAACAAAAGCCACTCCTATTCCAGCAAGCTTTCCTTTTGCATTTTCGTCGACAGAAAGCATGTGGATACTGGCATTCAATGTAAATGTTGCCCTGCATGCTCTTAGGGCGTGCTGCATTCATTTGCACTTTTGTTTCCATGTCGATGCACTCCAGCTTTTCAAATTGTGGACGTTTATATAATGAAGTTTAAGGCTGTCAACCCCAAAAAGCGCGGACGTCCTTCCAAACACCGGCCCATCTTTCTGACATCCCCGTCCGATTGCGATGGTGTTTCTTGGCCGTGTTTTCTTGTTTCTTCCTCGCGATGTCGGTGCAACGAGGTGCGGCAGCTGCTGACAGAGTACCAGCTCACAGTGAGCGAGTTTGTGGGAGAGCAATGGAAGCTTTTGAGAGCCCTGGACGCACGACGACACGACAACAATGTACGCGTCGTTTCGTGTTGGGGGCGTGGAACTCTATGTGCAAATCTCGTTTGGTGTGTTTGTGTATGTTTGTGTGCGGGGTTGCGGAGGCACCATTTGGTCGACGTTTGGTGCATTGATAGGCAATTTTACGGCTTTCGACTTCACCAGATGGATCTAAGGGGTTGATTCTACTCTTTGCTTGAGCGGAGCAGACAAGGAATTTGCAGAAGACACGACGGGTTTGGTTTGTAATGGTTTGTCTAGAATCAACTCTCCTTCCCCAAAACTTATATATAACATATATATATTATATTATATTTTCCATTATTTCATTATTTCTCCGTCCATCGTGGATCACCAACCTCTAAACAACTTTCAATCGCCTTGATGGGCAGTGGAAGTCTGTCTGCAAATCGCCTAGTGTGCCTTCTGCCACGAAAGTAGACGTACCTGAGGGCAGTGAGAGGCTGAAAAGATTTGGGGAGGTTGGGAGGTGCACGCTTTCAAGAGTTTTGAGGTGTTGGACGTGTGGGAATGAAAGACCGTATGTATATGTATGTCGTGCCTTTTACTTCCTCAATTTCACATTGTCAATGTTTCTTTTGAAACCAAATCTGTCTCAACTGATTTGGCTGGGGTCAACTAGTGGATCTCAGCTCCGATTTGCGTCTCGAGGAGTTGAACTCCTCGACATCGAACGGCTGGAGAGGCGCACAGTGCTGGGAGACACTAACGAAAGAGCTGGGCTTGAGGATGAGCATGATGAGCCTGTGTATTGGTGTGGCCTTTGTGGAGTTAGAGAACCCACCAAGAACTGAGAATTGATCCATATTGAATCATCTGCAAGATGTTTACCTTCTTGGATTCACCGCGAAATCGCTTCAGTGGGCCCCAACCCGAACCCAATCACTCGAGACCCAAAGCTGCAACGTTTCGGGAAACCTCACTCGAAGCTAACAGGTGGACAGTTCAGCTACCCTCCCTCCAACAAACATGGACGTGCACTTCCCCCGCAGTTTCTGGAGGAACACGGCCGCCGAGGTCCTCGGGGAGCGGCGAGCTCCGCCACGAGCTCACGCAGCTGCGGCCGGGGACGAAGTATCGCAGCGAGCCTGCACGGAGCGAGCTGGAGAAGGTCACAGGGGTGGCAGGTAGAGGCTGTTTTTGGGTGTCAACCGGCAGGAATGAGAGATCATAAGAGATCAGAGATCCACATTGCTGTTCATGTGTTTATCATTTTTTACTTCTAGTTCCTGTACACTAATGTCATGTCATAGTTTCATGGACACAGCAAGAGACGAAACCGCTTGCGACTTTTGGCCGCAAGACCTGCATTCACCCCGGCATTTCAATCCTGTGCTCTTGAGCGAATGGGGCGGGTAGAGTTGTGGCGGAACCACAACTCACGTGTGTTTTTGCTCTGGACATTTTGTCCTATACGTTTGTACGTACTGCTGAATGAAGAATGTCTCAAGCATCCCCACACTGCACACCCTCAACCGTAAGACGCTTCCAAACCCAGAAGACTTGACAGTACTCATCACAACAAAATCACTGGACATCTGGTGTTGGAATTGTACTCTCGTCTCTTCATGTTTTGTTTTCCCAAGGTCTCGATGGTATGCATGATCCCACTCGATAGGGCGGGCTTGATGGATCACCACCTCAGCATTTCTTGCAGTTCGTGCCAGATGTCCAACATACCTACCTCCTAGAATTAACATAGCCGTAGCCGCTGCCCCTATGTTTGCCACTCCCATCTGTTATTTTGCTTGTGCCAGGATCTTCGATGTTATGGTTTTAATAGGTTTAGTTTAATCCTCTTCTGGCAGGCACAAGGTCTTATGCCTCAGGAGTTGACAAAAAGGGTCTCCAGCCAGTCTAAAGGTGACCTTCTTAGATCTACTTCGCTTCTTCCATCTTCTCCCCTTGGACTGCAGAATGCAGGGATCCCCTTGGGCCCGGTCGGACGTCCGAACCCAGGGCTCGAGCTCCAGCTGCGGGCATGCGATGTCCCAAGGCCCCATCCGTGCACGGGTCCGTCACGGATCAGGGCGATTAAAGGGAGCTGGCACCAGAGATGGGAACACCATGGAACAAACACATGAAATACACAATATATTACATATATTATCATATTATATATATATATATATTTGTTTTTTCCTTCAATTTTTGGTTGTCATGGCATGTCCTAGCTCGCGGTTTCGGACGAATGGATCTGGTTCGGCAGGGCAGGCAGCGCACCACCTTTAGCCCCTGCGCGAAGCGAAAGCCGTCGTGCGTGCGCGAAGCGGGTCTTGAACTGCCGCCTCACCGAAGACCCGCGAGGCGGTGTTGACCATCCACACGTTGAGCCGGTTGGCCGGCTTCGAGGCCGGCTCCCCCGCGTTTGATGTCCCTTTCTGGGCGACGAACGACCGAAAGGTGAAGAGTCACACCTGAAGATGTGGAGGGTCGTAGGGGGTGTTGCGGCCCCGCCGTTGGACTTTTGGACACGGAGGCTTTTTTGGGAAATGTTTGTTGAACTTTTGGTGGTTGGGGGGGGAGGGCACGATTGACCTCAACTTGATTCCAAGGGTGTTTTCTCTTCAGAGTGCCGAAGAGCCGTGGGATCGCGGTTCTGGTGGAGTTTTCCATGGTTGGGACGGTGTTTTTATGGAACTCCCTCCGCAGGGAATCGCAGCGACTGTTTGCCTTGTTTTGGCTCTCCGAAGACCTGTCGCGCATCGCAGGGCCTCTCAGAAGAGGAGCGCTCCAGCCTGTCTACTGCCATGGAGTCTGGGAAGGGGAGGCGCCGCTGCAGTGGTGAACGGTTTGGGGGAACGCATTGGGGTTTTACAAGTCCAAAAAAGTCGTGGCGGCATGGTGACGTTGGTGCGAGCTTGACCCCCCTTCTTGTCACAACGGTGTCGGAATCGGCCCATCCCCAAAGAGAAGCTGGGAAGAATTGGGAATTGATTTCCTGGTCCACAACGATCGTCGGACCAACTGGGACGGAGAGGATTCACAGGTTCCCTTGGATCAGCTGTTGGCCTGTTCCTACCGCACCGGCCCATGGCCAGGCCCGAGTCCTTGAGTGTGCGAGAGCAGGCGACACAAGCGGGGCCCGGCTTCGTGCAAGGCCTGGGCGAAGGGCGAAGCTGTGGGGACTCCCTGGACAGACACCCCTTCCAACACGATGGCTTCAGTTTTCAAGACTCCCCGTTTGGGGGGGCTTTCAACCGCGAACTCCACTGCCGAGCCGCTCGATTGCACCGCTCGAAAGGTGCTTGCAAGAGCGAAATGTGCCGCGAGATTGGCGTCCAAGCCTTCCCGAAGGTCTGCACTGAGAGTGCCTGCCAAGTGGCAGGGGCCCTCAGGGCACAGGATCAACAAACCTGAAAATGACACCCCTTCACAGGAAACATATCGAGGAGAGATGACCTCACGATACTTCACTTTTTTTTTTGGAAATTCCGGCATGGACGAAGGGCCCGAGGATATCTGCAAGATGTAAGCCTTCTCATTTTTTCAATCCGGTCATCCATTTCTTTGATTCCACCTCGCGGCCTTCTGGGTGTGAGTGGAATCATGTGTCATGTGCTATGCCGTTGCTGGCTCTCCAGATCCGGAGAGGGCTTTTGGGTACAAACACCGCTGGTACTTGGGAATAGTTCAAATCTCCTATTATATTCTTTACTATAACTGATATCAACAATATTCCATTGTATAATTTTTGACCGATTGATGGAACCACTCACCACTGAACCCCGGACCAAACTTGCGACTGCAATGAAAGACCCAAAATAAAACATACCTAGCAGGTACGCCGACGTGGTCCCCAGTAGAATCTGAGGAACACGTGGTCGCTGCCTGCGTCGGTCGCTGACTCGGCGGTGTCGCCGAGGATCCCGTCGTGGCCGGACGCACGGACACCGCTTGTGGTCCTGAGTGGCCCAGCCTTTCCAGCTGCGGCGTGCAGTGTAAGGCGCACGGTCGCCAAACGGCGCACGGTTCCGCGACCGTTCTCTTGAGACCATGGGAATCCCTGTGATCAGTCACGTCTGGAAAGAGGGGGTTCTGTTTCAAAGGCTTGGTGACAACGAGTGGCAGACCTCCAACGCTTCAACAGCCAGTGCCAGTGCAGGAGTGTCCTTGTAAAGTTAAGTGCTATCCTTGGGCGCATTGGCTTTTGCTGCTTCAACTTGATTAACTTGATATTTGTTTTCGGTTGAGTAGGACGATGTTTGTGTGCGCTCCTACACGTAGCGACAAGCAGCCATGTTTAAGAGTCAACTTGTCGGAATATGCCACAATGTATTACAATTCTTGATTAATCAAACTTACCATTTGGATTGCAAAACCTCTTCATATGGGTGGTTTATTACTACAGTAACCCTTCGGCAGACCATCCAGTCATCACCTTTCTTCGCCTTGGCGCCAGGTGAAGAGCTGCGACTCCTCGAGCCAATGCGAAGTGAAATCCGTTCAGAGCTCCTGTCAGGCGAAGTCCGGGCGAGTTCGGGGCCCCGAAACCGGGGGCCCGGCCACCGGGTGGTGCCTTGAAGGGGGTCTTCTCCCTGGTGCCTTCTAGGATCCTAAGGCAAGAGCACAATTGCAAAGAACCAGAACATGTCATCCTCCAGACTGCACTGTTTATTGTATTTCTTATGTTTTTGGAGTGTAGGTCCAATGTTGTTTTGTCCACACCAACCCTCCTAAAGCGAGAAGAGCGACCAAGTTTTGCTGGATTTTGATTTTTTGACCTGCTGTATGTGTGTGTGTGTGTGTCTCAAGGCGGTGTGAATTTGCAGAAGTTGTTTGGTCAGAGAAGTTGAACTCAGCCAGGCGCAATTCCCCTCTCGGCAGCAGACGGGCGACGCAAAAGCCGACCTGGAGATGGATGTGTATTCAGGGGTTCCAGGACGGGGATGGCCCAAAAGTTGATGCATCGCAGACGGGCGCCCCTGATGATCGTTTTGGGCAGTGTATCGGAAGGTGGGCCTGTTCCAGGCTGGTGTGGAAGAACCTATTCTTGGCACCAAGGTTTCGCAGGCAACTGCCCCCATCCAAGAGGGTACAGTACATCGGACGACCCATTTCGTGCTTTGAGCCACACATGCAACACGTGCCCGTGCAAGAAGGACATTTGACTGAAGGGTTTTTGAACTAGTGCACATTGGCATACCTGGGTCCTGGGGAGTTCTGAACTGATTCATCCAGGAAGTGGCAGCGGCATTTTTTGTGTTTATCTTTCATTTTCTGGATAGCTTTTTTTCTTTTTTTCTCAAGTAGTGTCAGTTTCGCTTTTTGCTTTTGCTTCTTCTGCTTCTGCCTTTTTGTTTGCTTTTGCAGTTGCTTCTGCTTTTGTTTTCGCATCTGCCTTTTCGTTTGCTTTTGCTTGCTTTGGTTTTTGCTTGTCCTGCTTATGTTTCGCTTCTGTTTGTGGGCGCCTGGTGGAAACATGCATCAATTTTTGTGTTTTTTTCCTGGTTGATTGTTTGCGCAGGAAGGGGCCATTCTAACGTAGCAGACCTTCTGTGAGCCACCCGACGGACACAACTTTCAGGAGGAAGGACGCATTCCAACAGGGCTTTTTTGAGCCACCCGACAATAAATTTTGAGCAGGAAGGACTCACTCCAACTCCCTCCTCCTCCTCCTCCTTGCTCCTTCTCCTTTGCACTCTCGTCCTATCTCCCTCTCTCCCCCTTTCCCTCTCTCCTCCTTTCCCTCTCTCCCACCCTTTTCCTTATTTTCTGCTGCTCCTTCTGCTTCTGGAGCTCCCGGAAGAAAGTTTTCAAAACTACATATCCCTTGCCATCAGTAATTGTTTCATAGGTGATCATAGGTGGAAGTATACGCCTCAAACAACAATATTGAAGTCATTTACTGTGCACTAATATTTTAGACAGGGAGTGGTGGTGGGGGTTGGAATAGTTCTTTTTTTGGGGGGGTTTGGGGTTAGAGTCACACAGTCCAAAAAAAAAATATATAATATATATATATATATATAGCAAGTTATTCCAAAATATCATTGAGAGTCACAGATTTAGGAATGTGGAGTTCCCATGTGGGACGGCGTGCATTTTCGCTGGTGCCTGATCTGCAAGTGTTTTCTTATGAGTTGGTGAACCAAGAAGCAGCCCACCTACCGTGTAGGAAATTGTATTCAAGCAAAGGTAACCAGCGAAGCACGCAGACGACAGAAGCATAATGCGGCACATATTTAGTATTTGCTGGTGGTTACTGCGGAAAGACTTGTGCGCGGCTCTTGCCATGAATCACCCAGTCAATCCCTAGTAAACCTTCAGGGGGGGCCCCCCACCTCAACTTACCTTATAATTAGTTATTGGACGTTTGTTGAACATCAATGATTATTTTTAAAGACAGTCCAGACTCTCAGGAATAATTCGAATCAGGTGGGTGCACCCACCTCAGAAAAATAGAATCCTAGACTAGTACTGTACTATTTTGGTAGGTGGTGGACGGTACCACCCAACTATGGTAAGGTACAGTATATCCAAAACTGATTGGAAACAATCCAACAAACACATGACATTTCACCCTTCATCGCGCCAAAACTGCCTACGCCGGATCGCTGGTCAAGCCACAAGACAAGCATAGAAAGACACATTTGAGTTCCATGCAGGCTGGAGGGAAGTGCTTCTGCAAGCCGGTTTCGTAGACCTCCTCCGCCCCTTGGGCTTGGGTGAACCTTCGGCCGTCAGTGGACGAAGTGGGGCTTTTGGGTCCATGCGAACAGCGCGCAGTGGATGACAGGATCCACGTCACGGTTTTGACAGGGCATAACATAACCTAGCCGCGTAGGCCGGGTAGTGGAACCACATTTGATTGTTGTGTTAACAAGGCAAAGAGGCCCTGAGGTCGGAGCGGACATGTACTCCAACCCATGAGGGAAACCTCCTCTGTGACACACACTTAGGATAGGGTGTACTGAACTGAAAGCGGTGCCACACG